AGGATTGAAAAGGCATTTTTATATGGATGAAATACAGTCGGCCAACAGACACAGGAAAAAGTGCTCAGGATCACTAGCTATTGGAAAATGCCGAAAAATACCACTATTGAGGTATCAGCTCACCTGTTAGAATTTCTATCATCTAAATATCAAAATACAGTAAATGTTGGTGAGGATGTGGAGAAAAAACTGGATCTCTGCATGGAAAAGTATGAAGCAAGACTTCTACCTTAGACCTTACACGAAAATCCATTCAAAATGAACTTTGGCCATTTATGATCCAATGCCATCAAACTATTAGAGAACATTGGGGAAACTCTTCAAGACATTGGAATACGCAAAGACTTCTTGGAAAAGACCCCTGAAGCACAGGAAATCAAAGCCAAAATTGACAAATGGGATTGCATCAAGTTGAGAAGTTTCTGCACTGTGAAACACTCAGCAAAATAAAGAGGCAACATACAGAATGGGAGAAATTATTTGCAACTGATAAAGGATTAATATCCAGAATCTATAAAGAGCTCAAGAAACTCAACAACAGCAAAATAAATAATCCAGTTAAGAATTGGGCAAGGGGGCGGTGCTGTGGTGTAGTGGGTAAAGCCACCACCTGCAGTGCTGGCATCCCATATGGGTGCCAGTTTGTGTCCCGGCTGCTCCACTTCTGACCCAGCTCTCTGAAAATGGCCTTGGAAAGCAGTAGAAGATGGCCCAAGTCTTTGAGCTCCTACATTTGTGTGGGAGACCTGGAGGAAGTTCCTGGCTCCTGGCTTCAAATCAGCAAATCTCTCGCTGTTGCAGCCACCTGGGGAGTGAACCAGCAGATGGAAGACCTCTCTCTTTCTCTCTCTCTGCTTCTGCCTCTCTGTAACTCTGCCTTTCAAATAAATAAATAAATCTTTAAAAAAAAAAAAAAGAATTGGGCAAAGGACTTAAACAGGCATTTCTCAAAAGAGGAAATCCAAATGGCAAACAGACACATGAAAAAATGCCCAGGATCACTAGCCATCAGGGAAATGCAAATCAAAACCACAGTGAGTTTTCACCTCACTTCGGTAGAATGGCTTTCATACAGAAATCAACAAACAACAAATGCTGGCAAGGATGTGGGGGAAAAGTACCCTAATCCACTGTGGGAATATAAACTGGTGCAGCCACGGTGGAAGACTGTATGGAGACACCTCAGAAATCTGAATATAGACCTACCATATGACCTAGCCATCCCACTGCTGGGAATTTACCCAAAGGAAATGAAATCAGTATTGTCGCTCCCCCTCTTCGTGGAGGAACGACACAGGACCCTGCGCTATTCTTTTGTCTGCTCGGCCCTCTCCGGGTTTGCTGCTGGTTCTTCCTGGGTTGGCTACCGTCCCTTCCACCTCCGTGGAAGGGCGGTTCCCCCTGCCACATTCTCCACTTCCGCGGGGGAGCGGCACACCGGGGAGCGGCACACCGCCGGCCGGCTCTCTCGGGGGCTGCACAGGTGTTCCTTCAGATAGATGTTCCCTTTAGATGTTCCTGGTGCATGCCGTCTCTCTCCTCCTTTATAGTCCTCTTTCACCAATCCCAACTCTGCTATCCACATGCCAAGCACGCTGCTCTCCTCCAATCAGGAGCAGGTCCTGCTGCTTATTGGTTGAACTGGAGGCAGCTGTGTAGAAGCTGTTTCTTCCTCTCCCAGCGCCATATTGTGGGAGAGCAGATGCATAGAATAAGTCTTAATTCCAGTAACTTAGTCTAGTCCGAGTTGCTCCCCACAAGTATATGAAAGTTATTTGTACCCCTATGTTCATTGTAGCTCAACTCACAATAGTTAAGATATGGAATCAACCCAGATGTCTGCCAACTGAAGAATGGATAAAGAAATTACGGGATATGTACATAATGGACTACTACACACTGGTAAAAAATGAAATTCTGTCATTCACAACAAAAAGGATGCAACTGGGAAACATTATACTTAGTGAAATAAGCCACTCCCAAAAGGACAAAAACCATAGGTTTTCCCTGATCTGTGGTAACTATAGAATACCTAAAAGGTAATCTGTAGACATGAAACTGATGCTTTGAGGTGTGAAATAAGCCACTCCCAAAAGGACAAATACCATAGGTTCTCCCTGATCTGTGGTAACTAATAGAATACCTAAAAGGTAATCTGTAGATATAAAATTGATACTTCGAGATGCGATGACTTTGAAGAGCTCTTGTCTCAACTATTGAGGAACAGTTTTTTTTCTTCATACTATTTGTTGAACTCTCTACTTAGTGTAGGGTTAATCTTATGTATATAAAGTTAATTAAAACAGAACTTAGTAAAAAATAAGAATGGGAATAGGAGAGGGTGGAGGATAGGGTGGGAGTACAGGTGGGAGGGAGGATAGGGATGGAAGAATCACTATGTTCCTAAATCTGTATAAATGAAATGTATCAAGTTTGTATACCATAAATAAAAGGTTTCTAGGCAAAACAAATACCGTTACTATTTGGGGGAATGTAAACTGGCACAACCATTATAGAAAACAATATGGAGATTCCTCAGAAAACTAAGAATAAATCTCAGTATAAACCAGGTATCCACTCCTGGGAATAATTTCAAAGGAAATAAAAGCAGCATATGAAAGAGTTACTTGCACTTCCATGTTTTTTCCAGCAGCTCAATTCATAATAGCTAAAATGTGGAATAAACATGGATGTCTATCAGTTGATGACAGGATAAAGAAAATGTGGTATATATACATGCTGGAGAATTAGTCATAAAAAAGGATGAAATTCTGATACTTGCAACAAACGGATGCAACTGTAAATCATTATGCTAAGTGAAATAACCCATCCAACAATGAAAATATTGGTGCTGGTGCCACAGTGTAGTAGGTTAAGCCTCCATGTGTGGCACTGACATTAAATATGAGCACCAATCTGAGTCCTGGCTTCCCCGCTTCCAATCTCGGTCTCTTCTAATGGGAAAGCAGAGGAAGATGGCCCAAGTGCTTGGTCCCCTGCACCCATGTGGGAGACCTGGTGGAAACTCCTAGCTTTAGAATAGCCCTGCCATGGCCGTTGCAGCCATTTGGGGAGTGAAGCAGCAGTTGGAAGACCTCTCTCTGTGTCTCCCCCTCTCTCTGTAACTCTGCCTCTCAAACAAATAAAATAAATCTTAAAAAAGGAAAATATCATATTTTCTTATTTGTGGTAGTTAATATATAGATATAGATATGCTACTATAGTTTTACTGATGTATGATTATTTTAAAGTTTATTGTATATGAGTGAAATGGACATCTTTTCATTTGATTTGTTTGTAGTTCTTGCCTGTATTTTTGCTGAACTATGGTCTTTTTTACTTTTTACTTGTTGAATTCTTTATTAAGTGGTACATTAACCCTTTGACTACGATATAAATTAAAAATACACTATCTCAAAAATTCAAAAAGAAGGAAAGAAAGAAAGATAGAGAGAAAGGTGGGAGGGAGGAATGGAGGGAGGAAGGGAAGTATCATAATAATCCTAGAATTGCATCTATTTTCTTTGTATTAGTATCACATTAACAGGAGAATTGATAGGAGAAAAAAAGAAGCTTTATTGAACAAATTCTATTTTTTGTGGATTTGGTCTTTCTCTGTGTAAAATAACACGAATATAATAAATATGTTATATATAAAATCATGTAAATATATAATTTTTATAAAATGTAATCCTAATAAAGCCCAATGAGTCTAACAGGGGTTTAGTAACTTTCCTATGATCACATAGCTAGTATCGCTGGCAGGGTCAGATATCAAGATTTATATGATTTCCACTATATCATGACACTTAATATAGTTATATTATAGGGATGTTTGCATTTTAAAAGAGAAAGCCTACATAAAAGTATTGTAAAAATAAAGGAAAATTGGGAGGGGGAGATAATTGTGTCTGTGGTAAAATTCCAAGCATTAGAAATGAGTATGCAAGGATATCCATCTGACATGAGTTCTTTCTTAAAATCTTTCATATCACTTTGCTGTTCTATACATGTGTAAAAACCAGCCTCATGTACTATCATTGATTATTTTCTATGAGATTGGTTTGCCTATTGCCAACACTCTCAAAATACATTGTGTTAAAGGAATAGATACAGGATAAGGTGCCTTTTAATGCTGTCTAGAATCATTACTGCTGCTCCTCCGCAGAGGAGCCACACCAGACCAGACGCTTGTTGTTCCCCTTTTACAAGTCTTTTCTATAGTAAAGTAAGAATAAGCAAACAGCGAACTCCCAAAGCAAGAATGAGTAGAGAGAAATGAGAAAGAACGAAGCAACAAACTTCCCCGTGAACTCTCTAACGCACTCTCCAACCAACCCACACCACCATGCCATCTCTCTCCTCTTTTATAGTCCTCTTCCACCGATCCCAACTCAGCTGCCCACATGCCAAGCACGCTGCTCTCCTGCAATCAGGAGCAGGATCAGCTCCTGCAGGTTATTGGTCAAACTGGAGGCAGGTGTGTAGAAGTTGTTTACTCCTCTCCCAGCGCCATATTGTGGGAGAGCAGATGCATAGAATAAGTCTTAATTCCAGTAACTTAGTCTAGTCTGAGTTGCTCCCCATAGTTCCCCCTTTCTTTTTATTTTTTGGCGTTGATACACGCCTGTCTTCGGTGCCCCATGGCACACACTCTGCTCTGCTTGCTGGAGTTGCCCACAGGTGCTTACAAGCCCTACCAATCAGGCAAACCGAATCCGGGTCCTCTCTTTGCCATGTTGTGAGGAGGTTTTTAGGCGCTGATGCGTGCCTGTGTTAAGTTCAGCGTGATCTTCATGCTATTGACTGTCTTGTTTGTTGTGGTACTTCAGGGTTCGTTGAAAATGTCCCATATTCAAGAACAGGTCATCAAAGAAGGAGGTACCTTTCTCTGAAGGGAGGAGAGAACCTCCACTTTGACTATGACCTTGTCTAAACAAGATAAGAGTCGGAGAACTCAGAGGGCTTCCATAGCCTTGGAAACTCATGACTGGAGCATAGGGAGATTACTGATGCCATAGACAGGAGTGTCAATTGGTAAAGTCAACAACAGGAGTCACTGTGCACTTACTCCTCATGTAGGATCTCTGTCCTTAATGTGCTGTGCATTGAGATTTAATGCTATAACGAGTACTCAAACAATATATTTCACTTTGTGTTTCTATGTGGGTGCAAACTGTTGAAATCTTTACTTAATGCATACTAAACTGATCTTCTGTAAAAAAAAAAAAAAGAAATTATCAATTCCCAACTTGACTCTCACTGGGATTAAACATGACAATAGGTCTGATCTGATTTCATCATCATTTAAAAAAATCATCTATTATTTTTCACTTTATGTTTCTGTGTGGGAGCAAACTGTTGAAATCCTTACTTAATGTATACTAAGCTGATCTTCTGTATATTAAGATAATTGAAAATGAATCTTGATGTGAATGGAAGGGGAGAGGGAGTGGGAAAGGGGAGGGTTGTGGGTGGGAGGGACGGTATGGGGGGGAAGCCATTGTAATCCATAAGTTGTACTTTGGAAATTTATATTCATTAAATAAAAGTTAAAAAAAATGTCCCATATTCCAAGGATCTCAGGGATTGGTTATTCATTGTTTCCTTCCTCAAATGGAATTTTTTTCTTCTAGCTCCTCTGCTGGTAGGTTCACCAAGCGAATTCTTCTCTCGGAGGTCCATATTGGTTGTGCCGCACCCTGCGGAAAAAAACAAACGGCGCCTCGTACTCTTCTAAGTAAGGGGAATGGGCCTTTCCATTGGTTATCCTGTAAATCCTTCCACATTACCCACTGTATTGATTCCTTATCAGCTGATTGAGCATGCATTTCTGCAGGTGTTTTGCCGTTCTTTTTCTTGTTCAAAAAATTAATTGTATAAAGAGCTAAGGCCAAAGCATCCTTATTGGATGCGGCCATTTCCCCTATTCCCCCTTTTTGTTTAATTATTAAATTTTTTAAATATAAGTGAGTGCGTTCTACCACAGCTTGCCCTTGTGGATTATAAGGAATACCGGTAATATGGGAGATTCCGAATTCTTTCAAAAATGCAGCAAAATGAGCTGATGTATACGCTGGGCCATTATCCATTTTGATCACATGAGGAACTCCCCAGGCTGCAAAAGCCTGCAAGCAGTGTTGGATTACTTGTTGTACTCCTTCTTTATTCATGGCTGTGGCAATAACTACACCTGAATATGTATCTACAGTGACATGAACACAGCTTTGTCACCCAAAAGAAGGGATATGTGTAATGTCCATCTGCCAGATATGTCCTGGTTTAAGGCCACGGGGATTGGTCCCGCAGGAATCTTTGGAACTGTGGCAACAACACACTTTTCACAGGACCTAATAATACCTTCTGCTTGCTTGCGGGGAATATTAAATTTAAAACTTAAAGTGTGGGTGTTGACATGCCATTTAGAGTGATATTCTTTAGCTTGTTCCAAAGCGGTGCATGCAAGCAAGAATCTTGAATAATGATCGGCCATCATGTTACCTCGAGTAAGTGGGCCGGGTAAATTAGAATGAGCTCTTATGTGGCCTATGTAAATAGCATGCTCTCTCTGATTTAATAACCCCTGAATTTCGCTTAAATAAGAATAGACTGAGGAGGATTTAAGAATAAGGCACTGTGTAGCAAGCATCTGAACTGCATTCACCACATATGCACTATCAGACAAAATATTCATGGGTGCGCTCTCTCTGCATAATACTGTCGCGATAATAGCTAATTCTGCATGTTGTGGAGAAGGGGATGCTGTTAAAACAAAATATCGTTGATTGCCAAGTATAGCTGCTCCTGTTCCGCCTTTAGCTCCATCCATAAATACGGTAACTGCCCCTTGAATTGGATCCCTTCGCACCTTCTGCACCCGTTTTATTGAAACCTGTGTGCAGAAGTTAACAAATGGATGGCGAGGGTAGTGATTGTCAATCTCTATTTGTAGAATGAGAACTATGTATGCCCATTGCCAGCATTCCCTTGTAAAGGCTTCTACTGCCAATTGAGCAAAGGGAACTACACATCGCTTTGGAGTCTTCCCTGCCATTTCTGTCACCTTTTTTATTGCTGTTAATATCAAATCAGCCACCGCAATGCCTTGGGTGTATAGTACACGCGGTGCATGTGAATGTGGGTATACGAACAACAAGGGTCCTCCTTGCCAAATGACTGCGAAGGGATACAGCTGTTCCATAAAAATTAATATTTCTAGGGCTTGTTGTAGATCACATCTTTCCATCTGCATTGCTTTAATTTGTTTTTCGATTTTCTGTAACGCCAAGCGGGCTTCTTTTGTCAATCTACGAGGGGAATCAAGCTGGGCATCTCCCTCTAAAATATTGAATAATGGCATCATATCTTCGGTGGTTAATTTACAATAGGGCCTCAACCAATTTAAATTGCCACATAATTTTTGGAAGTCATTAAGGGTCTGCAATCCATCTATTGCAATTTCAAATTCTAATGGATTCACCTTTTCAGAAGTTACTTTAAGCCCTAAGTACTGTACTACTTCCCCTTTTTGTATCTTCTCTGGTGCTACTTGTAACCCAACTTTTTCCAAATATAATAGCAACAGCTTATATGCTTCCATAAGGTGACTTTCACTTTCAGCCGTTATTAACAGGTCATCCATGTAATGTAAAATTTGTATTTCTGGGCATGGTTGTTGAACCGGCTCTACTGCCTGGTCAACATATAGCTGGCATATGGCAGGACTATTAGTCATTCCTTGGGGAAGCACTTTCCATCCATATCTTTTGTCAGGACCTTGATGATTAATGGAAGGTATGGTGAAAGCAAACCTCTGAGTGTCTTGTTCATGTAGAGGTATGCTAAAAAAGCAGTCCTTCAGATCAAGTACTATTAATGGCCAATGCTTTGGGATCATAGTAGGAACCGGGAGTCCGGGTTGTAATGCCCCCATGGGTTGCATCTGCTGATTAACAGCCCGTAAATCATGCAACAACCAGTATTTCCCCGATTTTTTCTTTATCACAAATATTGGCGTATTCCATGGGGAGGTTGATGGTTGCAAATGGCCTGCCTCTAATTGTTGTAACACTATATCATTTACCGCAGCCAGCTTTTCCTGGGTAAGGGGCCACTGTGGTATCCACTTTGGCTTGTTGTCCAGCCATGACAATGGCAGCGGCTGCATCTCAGTGGCCCCCACGAAAAACCTGTGTCCTGTCTTTTAAAGTAGCCTTTGGGCTGGGCTAGGTCCCTTCTGCCTTCTCCTCTGGAACCTAATCCTCTCTCCTGATATCCCTTTTTATACATAATACGCCGTCCTGGAGAACTCTCCAACTGGTCTTCATTGGTTAATGTCAGTCCCATTTGTTCCAAAATGTCTCTTCCCAATAATGTGATGGGGAGTGCACTAACATAAGGTTGCACATTTCCCTTGTTCCCTTCTTGATCCTGCCAACGAAGCACCTGAGCACTCCTTGATGGTGTCATGGCCGCACCTAGGCCTACTAAAGTATTATCTCCTGGCTGAAGGGGCCACGACTTCGGCCAATCATTTTCCAAAATTATACTTACATCTGCACCCGTATCTAGCAGGCCCTGAATCGACTTTCCTCTAATGGTTAAGGTCCATAGAGGTCGATCTACTAAAGACAGGGATAAGGCTGCAAATTTCTCCCCTTGGGGTCCATGAACATCCTGTGCTCCAGTCATAATCAGCATCTGAGCCACAGGTTCTTCTGGCTTAATTTGTACAATGCCCTTTGTGGATTGTAGCAGCACCTTTAACTTATCAAAGGGTAATTGGACAACTCCAGTAATGACCATTAGGCCTCTTAAAGCATTTGTTGCCTTTCCTATAATTATTCCAAGTCCCTTCTGCCTGGCCGAAATTGTATCTGCCATCACCTCTATGGCTTGTGCTCCCATTTGAGGTGTTAGTACCGAATACCCGGTGGCTCGTAACTCTGAGCAGTAAATATTTGGTTTCTGTATTGTTGGGACCGTGGCACCCACCGATTGTTTTGGCCCCGGGGTGCAGGGGCCCACATTCCATTTTTTGGCTGTTGCCCATATACACCTGGTCTTTTTATGGGGCCTGGCTCATTTGGCGCCCTCAGGGGATTGCCTGCGCTATGCATTTTAGAGTAACATTCACTGACCCAATGGTTCCCTCTTCTACAGCGTGGGCAAAGGCCTGGTCTTCTTGAGTTCTCCATGCTCTGCTGATCTCGGGCTGGAAATTTCGCCCTACATTCCCTCATTAAATGCCCTTCTCTACCACATCTAAAGCATTTTAGTCCCCTCATATCTTGTCTAAATTGTCGGGTCATTGCTACTGCAGCATGTGATCCAGAAGCCACATCATCCATGACATCCCTACAGATTTTCAAGAAGATAGGGATGTCCTTATGCTGCCATGGTCTAAGAGCTTCACGACATGTTTTATTGGCCTGTTCATACGCCAATCTTCTGACTAAGGGCATAGCTTCTTCCACAGTTTCAAAAATGTTTCCCGCTGCTTCCATTAACCTGTTCACGAAGTCAGTGTAAGGTTCAGTAGAGCCCTGCACTATCTTAGTCAAGCTGTGTCTTATCTCACCTTTTCTGGGTACCACCTTCCAGGCTCTTCTTGCTATCTCTCTTACTTGTAAGAGGACAGCTGTTGGTAGTCGGGCCTGATCATCGGGATTGGCAAATCGCCCTTCTCCATTTAACATTTCCTCATCCCATATTTGATTCCCTGCTCTATAGTTCTGCTTTGAATATTCTCGAGCAAATTCTCTATAAGCAGCTAACCATAAGAGGAAGTCACCCCCGCCTAACACCGCCCTTACTAAGTTCCTCCAATCCTCGGGTATCAGGCCTTGCTGTCCTATGTTATCAAGGATTGCCTGTGTAAAACTTGCATGGGGACCATACAATTGCACTGATTGTTGCAATTCTTTAAGTAATTTGTGATCAAGAGGCGTCCAACCCCTGTTTCCCTGCTGATCCTGAATTACAGGAAACACCTGGCCTGGTTCCTGGTATTGCTCCCAAGCAGGTTTTCTATAAGCAGCTCCCCTTTGCTTGCTTTCGGTTCTTGGCCTTTCTATCTCCTCCTGCATTCCTACTCCCTCCATTGCTCCTTCTTCCTCCTCCCACTCTTCTTCAATCTCATGTGGAAAAAAAGGGCTTTTCTTTACAGAAGGAAACTTTGGCAGTATCAATGGGCGATACCGGGGTGGCGATTCATCCTTTATGGTTGAATTTGCCAGCCTTGTAGGGCCAGGATATATTCTTGGCATCTCTCTCGGGGACGAGGTTCCCTCTTCAGCTTCCTCCTCCCCCCGTAAGCTTCCTGGCTCTCTAAATCCTTCTTTGATTTTCTTCTCACCTGTTCATTACAATAGCTGCTCGCCTGGCTGCCCTGCCATAATTCTTCCTGCAACTCACTCCCCTCATTAAGCAACAATTCGATCCCTTCCGTGGGGTCCTGAAGCGCCTGATCAACGAGTTGCCACAGCTTCAGCACTTCTATCGATTCCCCAGCTGCACGCAATTGCCGTCCCACCTGTCTCCACTGCTGTAGAAACCAGGGGGACGTCTCTATGACTGCTCTTAGGAATGCGTGAAATTTCCTCCCCCCTCCTTTCCCTCGCTTAGAAGAAAAGCTGCGAGGAGGTGGGGAGTAGGGAGAGAGAGAGAGAGAAACCGTATTCAGCCCATAACGGATGATCTTTAGGGAGAAATAGAGGATGGTGCCCAGCATTAGGAAGAAGACGTAGCCAGTGGGCAAGGAGTAGCCAAAGAACTCCATTGTCTGCACCGTCCGCGACATGTTGGAGTGGTGGGCGTAGTGGAAGACTGAGTCTCCCGGGCGTCCCAAGTAAATGCCTCTTTCCTAGCTTCTATTTTTCTTCCCTCGTGGCTTTTTTCCTGGATTCTAACTAGCTTCTCACCAGCACTTTTCGTCCGGCCTTTCCCTAGGCTCTTCCCTAGTCTCTCTCCGATATTTTCCCACTTCTTTCCACTTCTTCCCTCCTAGGTTTCCTAACCGAGTCACGGCACCACTTGCTGCTCCTCCGCAGAGGAGCCGCACCAGACCAGACGCTTGTTGTTCCCCTTTTACAAGTCTTTTCTATAGTAAAGTAAGAATAAGCAAACAGTGAACTCCCAAAGCAAGAATGAGTAGAGAGAAATGAGAAAGAACGAAGCAACAAACTTCCCCCATGAACTCTCTAACGCACTCTCCAACCAACCCACACCACCATGCCATATCTCTCCTCTTTTATAGTCCTCTTCTACCGATCCCAACTCGGCTGCTCACACGCCGAGCACACTGCTCTCCTTCAATCAGGAACAGCTCCGCAGTTTATCGGTCGAACTGGAGGCAGCTGCGCAGAAGCTGTTTACTCCTCTCCCAGCGCCATATTGTGGGAGAGCAGATGCATAGAATAAGTCTTAATTCGAGTAACTTAGTCTAGTCTGAGTTGCTCCCCACACATTACCATTCTTTCATCTTATTTATGTATTTTAAAGTCGTGTGTATATATGTATTTGAAAGGTAGACACACACACACACACACACACACAGAAAGAATTCTCCATCCTCTGGTTTGCTCCCTAAATACCCACAATTGTCAGGGCGGGGCTGGGAGCCACGAACTCCATCTGGTTCTCCCACATGATGGCAGATCAAGTACTTGTGCCATCATCTGCTGCCTCGTAAGTGCATTAGCAGAAAGCTCTATCAAAAGTGGAGGCAGGGGGCTGGTACTATGGTGTAGTGGGTAAAGCTGCCGCCTGCAGTGCTGGCATCCCATATGGACACTGCTTCAATTCCCAGCTGCTCCACTTCCAATCAAGCTTCCTGCCATGGCCTGCATCCATGTGGGAGACCCAGAAGAAGCTCCTCAGATTGGCACAGCTACAGCCTTTGTGGCCATTTGGGGAGTGAACCAACAGATGGAAGATTATCTCTCTCTCTCTCTCTCTCTCTCTCTCTGACTCTGCCTCTTTGTAACTCTGTCTTTAAAATAATAAATAAATCTTTAAAAAAAAAAAAAAAGGCGGCTCTGCACTGTCCCTCCGATGGCGTCCGCCTACGGCACCTTGGTGAAGCACGAGCAGATCCTGGTCCTCGACCCACCCACAGACCTCAAATTCAAAGGCCCCTTCACAGATGTAGTCACTACAAATCTTAAATTGCAAAATCCATCGGATAGAAAAGTATGTTTCAAGATGAAGACTACAGCACCTCTCTGGTACTGTGTGAGGCCCAACAGTGGAATTATTGACCAAGGATCAACTGTGACTGTTTGACTGTTTCAGTAATGCTACAGCCCTTTGACTATGATCCAAATGAAAAGAGTAAACACAAGTTTATCGTACAGACCATTTTTGCTCCATCGAACACTTCAGATATGGAAGCTGTGTGGAAAGAGGCAAAACCTGATGAATTAATGGATTCTAAATTGAGATGTGTATTCAAAACGCCCAATGAAAATGATAAATTGAATGACATGGAAGCCAGCAAAGCTGCTCCACTGAATGCATCGAAACAAGATGGACCCATGCCAAAACTGCACAGTGTTTCCCTCAATGATACTCAAACAAGGAAACACATGGAAGAGTGGAAAAGACTTCAGGGAGAAATGATGAAGCTTTCAGAAGAAAATCAACACCTGAGAGATGAAGGATTAAGGCTCAGAAAGGTAGCACATTCGGATAAACCTGGCTCCACCTCAACTGCATCCTTCAGAGATAATGTCACCAGTCCTTTCCCTTCACTTCTTGTTGTAATTGCAGCCATTTTCATTAGATTCTTTCCAGGAAAATTCATCTTGTAGAGTGAAGCATGCTGAGTGCTATTTCTTTTTTTTCCTCTTTTTTAAAAACTTTTATTTAATGAATATAAATTTCCAAAGTATAGCTTATGGATTACAATGGCTCCCCCCCATAACTTCCCTCCCACCTGCAACCCTCCCCTTTCCCGCTCCCTCTCCCCTTCCATTCACATCAAGATTCATTTTCAATTCTCTTTATATACAGAAGATCAGTTTAGCATATATTAAGTAAAGATTTCAACAGTTTGCACCCACATAGAAACACAAAGTGAACAATACTGTTTGAGTACTAGTTATAGCATTAAATCACAATGTACAGCACACTAAGGACAGAGATCCTACATGAGGAGTAAGTGCATAGTGACTTTTTCCTCTTGACCAGAAAAGATTTGTTTACCTACCATTTCATTAGTAGTATGGTCCGCAGTGACCATTTTTTTGAGTGTACAGCGTCATAATAGGCTTTGCCTTTAATGATCTCTTATGGTTAGAAAACATAATAAAAACAAACTGTTCAGCTACTGAACAAATTGTATATTATCAGGTCAACACTAGCAGATGTCAGTTGCACATTCAGTCCTTTATAGAATTCATAAATAAAGAATTGTTCTTTCTTTGTGGTTTTAATAAGAGTTCAAGAATTGTTCAGAGTCTTGTAAATGTTATTTTAATAATCCCTTTAAATTTTATCTGTTGCTGTTACCTCTTGAAATATGGTTTATTTAGATTGCTAATCCCACTCATTCAGGAAATGCCAAGAGGTGTTCTGTGGGGGAATGTAAATTTTCTCCTTTACCTTTGCTAATATCATGGCAGAATTTTTCTTATCCCTTGTGAGGCAGTTGTTGACTGAGTTTTTCATCCTTACAATCCTGTCCCATGGTATTTAACATTAAAAAAAAAAAAAACTGCTAACAGAAAAAAAAAAGAAGAAGTGGAGGCAGGTCTCAAACTCAGCCACCCCAATATGGGATATAGGAGTCCCAAGTAAGGGTTAACTTGCAGTGCCACATCTGCCCCAAGTGGCATTTATTAACTAGGCTATTTCTTAACACTGTGTTGGAGTAAGTTTCTATATCTAAAACTCAGAGATCCCAAATGTTGAAACTTTAAAACCTAGCATTATAAAATACAGGGCTGTATACACAGTTAGTATAGAAATGTGCTATGTGATTAATCCCATGCACAGCTCCTGGATATAGTTAATTTATCATACAGCCTGCCTTACAGGCACAAGTACATCCCTATTTACAGTTCATGTTCCAGAAGCGAATTCCTGACATGGACCTCTCACCTAAGCAACCAAGCTGGTGCTGTATTGGCTGATGGTAGCATCACCTTTATCAAGAAAGGCATGCAAGGTCCCTTTTAGAACCAGTTTGCTAAATTAGTGTTGCTAATTACTGGATTATATGCACCAAAAAAATTACTAATTTTGTGAAACCTCATAGCTTTCATTTTTTTGTTGTTTACAACATTATTTTGGCAGCCAAAATGTTTACACAATAGGTATTTTGCAGATTGCTTCATTTCATATTTGAAATTTTTATGTCCATGGGGTGCTTAGCATAGCAAAATCTTTTTGTCTCAGGCAGATTATATTTCTAGATTGAACTGTAGCTTGATGACTTCAGTCTTTGCTTGTAGTAAGGGGAATACTCTAGAGAAAATGTCCATTGGCTGAGTCCTGATCATTGGCTGAGTTAAAATAAGCAATCCTTAGGACTATCTAAAGTCATTACAGAAGGTCTCCCTGCCAACAGTTTCACACTCTTTTCTTAGGTTGCTGTTCAGACCTTGAGTTGGTTCCAGGACACATGGCCCTAAAACAACAATAGCATATCCTGCCCCTCTACCTCATCAGCATTTCATTTCTCTGTTGCCCATAGTAGGTTATTTATAGAGATGGTCACATCAGATATGTCTTTTCACAATGTGACTTTGCCCTTCTTCCCACTAAGAAATATGAGCCTGTTTCTCTTCTACTTGAATTTCAGCTTGTCATGGTGCTAGAGGTGGCACAAAGACTAGGCCTTAAGAGGCCTTACATTTTTCTCTCTCTTGGAACCCTGGGAGCATCATGCTGTGAAGAAACCCCATCTCACCAAGTGGAAAATGAGAGGTCATATAGGAGAAAACCAAGGTGCCCAGCAGATGGCCAGCATCAATTGCCAGAACTATCAGAGAGGATACATTGAGCTCCCAGCCCCAGCCAAGTCATCAGAGGAAGGAAATCATGTGATGATAGGCAGGGTCAGCAAAAGAACCATCTTAACTTGCCAATCCAGAGAATAATGAAAGATAAATCATTACTATTTTAAATGGGTATGTGGTAGGGTGATTTGTTATATAGCAACAGATAACAGAAAAATCCTCTTCAGTAGTCTTAAAAAATTTGTAGTAATGAAATGGATATTTTGTGATATGATTATCATTTTTAGCATAGACTGGGAACCCAAATCAACTTCCACTCCTCTGTGGTAGTCACAGGGTGATATTCCTTTTTCCATTGTAAACAGAAAGTCATCTCAAACACAGATTTAAGTAAGATCTAGAGTTTCATAACACGGCAACATAACCAGACTTCAACTGATAATTACTCATCATACCAAGAACCAGGAAGATCTAAAACTGAATGGAAAGAAAAGATAGTTATTAATTACCTATAAAAATATGACAGATATTACAATTATCTCACAAGCAGCATGACAAAAATATTTAAAGGAGCAATTTTAAGTACACTTGAAACAAAATAAAAAGTCTCTGACAAAATACAAATTCACAACAAAGAACCAGAAGATATAAGTAAGGACCAAATGGAAATTTTAGAACTAAAAAACACAATAGCTGAAATTAACTCAGTGAATGGGCTCAACATCATATCTATGACACAACAAATAATTTAGTGATTCAGAAGACAATAGAAATTATGCCATCTGAACAGTGAGCAAAACATCAACATAGTCTGAAGTAACAGAGGAACTATTAATAA